ATAGCAGCAGGAGAGGGAACTGTATTGTTTTTAGGAGACTGCAGATCTCTCTTACAAATTCCAAGTTTCCTATAGAAACAAAGCCCATTTTTCTTTTCTTTTTTAAATTTTGTTTTATATTTTTATTATGTAATGATTTGTGTAGTTTTTTATCATTGCACATAAAGACAAATTTTAACATTTATTTAAAAATTTTGAGTTCCAAATTTTCTCCCTTCCCCTCTACTCCCCTCCCTAAGATGGTAAGTAATTTGATATAGGTCATATATGTGCAATCATATAAAACATTTCCATATTACTCATGTGAAAGAAGAAAGAGGCCAAAAGACAAAAACCATGAAAAAAACTTACGAAGTGAAAATAGTGTGCTTTGATGTGCGTTCAGACTGTATCGGTTCTTTCTCTGGATGTGAATAGCATTTTTCCCCTCGAGTTCTCTGGAGCTGTCTTGCATCATATTTGGAATTTTCTTGGATTACCATTTTTCTAATAAAATAATTTTGCTGGTTGTTGTTGTTTATCCTTCGTTCTCAAAGAGGCCCTGCCTAATGAGGCCTGGAACATTATTGCCTCCTAAGAACTAAAGGGCACAGAGGGCAATAGAGAGGCACATGGTGGGTGTGATAAGGCTAAGACAAATTGCTCTGGACTTTAGAACTCCATAGAACAGGAGCAGAGAGTGTCATTGACAAATTGTTTGACAGAAAGGGAAGATGGGATAGTCATGTGGTAAGAGGAAGGATTGACAGGTGGGCAGCCAGAGAGTTCCATTGTTATCTTCTGGATCTAGAGAGAAGCAAGGATGCTTCCAGCATGTTAGGTGGACCTCCTGTGGCAAACATTTGTGAGAGCATGCATGGGAATCACACAGAATCTAAAAGCATGGATAGATTTTGATCACTGTTGTTAGAGGAGGTTCCTGAATCACTGAGAAGGACAGAGCCATCTGAGAGTTGAGAGTATTGAGGAAGCAAATATGTAAGGCAATGAATGTCCTGATAATCTAGCCAGGTTCTGGATTGTTTACAAATTTGGGTGTATGTTGGGAGAGTGATTCTATGATTTCTGAAGATTCTGTTTCTTAGGCAGTTGGGCCTGGCACAGGAAGACCTGAATTCAAGTCCTTGTCTCAGATACCTACAGACCCCTGGTCAAGTCACTTGTTCTCTCCTTTCCTCAGTTTTCTCTTCTGTAAAATAGGAATAATAATAGCACCTACCTCCCCATGGTTGTTGTGAGGATAAAAATGAAATCATATTTGGAAAGTGCTTTGTACAACTTAAAGTGCTGTGTAAGTGCTAGTTATTATTATCATTATTATTATTAATAGCCATTATGTGAGAGGTAAAGTAGAGTCAACTATGCAGTGATTTAGATAGCAGCCTTTTCCACTAGGAGGAGAAAATTTTGGTCTTCAGCTAGCCTTTTCTAGATCAGCTCTACTTGGGAAGCATTTTTTTCTTCTCAATATAATATAGAACTACTAAGAGATATTTATTTGATTGGTATTCTAGCTGCAGATTTTATAATCTATGTTGATCTCTTGATCCTGTGTCTCCACCTAGCATTTGTTACCATGTGCTCAGATGAGCATCCCTTTATTCCCAAACCAGTATGTCTCTGGGTTTGCCTTATAATTTCAGTTTTCCCACTTCTATAAGAATTCTATAAGTTGCTCGATCTAAAGGAGAAAGCCTTTTTTTTTTAAGGTACAGAAGTCCAGTAAAGAAGATTCTTATTTTTCAAGTCAAGCCTCCCATTTCTTGCTTCCGTTACATATTCTAACAAGTGACTCAGGGCTTCAAAACCTCACTCTATCACTCTTTGTCCTATACCGCAGCTTCTAATTTCTAATGTGTCTGGTGTTGAGGGCCTTTTATTCGCCCTTCTAAATTATTTGTTTGGTGTTTCCTAGCTTAGAAAGAACAAGTAATTCCCATGTGCCCTTTAAAAAAACGTTCTACTTCCTTTATTGCTACATGACTGGGCCATTAGCTCTACTTATCTTCTTTTTTTTTTTCCAAGTGAAAATTTTAAAAATCTTTTTCTAGTTACGTGTAATAAGCATTTTAACTTAAAAAAAACATTTTGAGTTCCAAATTCTTTCCCTTCCCCCCCTTGAGAAGGCAAGCAGTTTGATACCGATTATGCATGTGCAGTCATGCAAAACACATTTCCACATTAATCATGTTTTGAAAGAAAACACAGACCAAAATAAAAAAAAAGCAAGAAAAATAAGGTTAAAAAAAGTATGCTTTGATCTGCATTCAGACTCCATCAGTTCTTTCTCTGGGGTGGATAGCATTTTTCATCATAAGTTCTTTGGAATTGTCTTGGATCATTATTTTGCTGAGGATAGTTAAGTCATTCACATTTGCTCATCATATAATATGGCTGTTCCTAGTTTCTTTTGAAATAGCTTCTCATTTAGTATTTGTTTGTTTAGAAGCCTGTAGGCAGGCAAAACTGGAAACTAAGTAAGATGTAGGTGGAACTGTTCTCTGGAATGTCCTATTCATCAGAATAGAGGACCTAGTTCCAAAACAATTAACCTCTTTTTAAGATGCTCCTAGATACATTAGCGTAGAAATAAGATTGTCATCTGCAAAAGTATTAACCGACACAATTAAAGTTAAATTATGTTAAGTGTTTACTGAAGAAAATATATTTCTGTTTAATGTGATGTATATGTATGGCCTATAGTAGATTGCTTGCTGTCTTGGGGAAGAGGGAAGGGAGGGAGAGGAGAAAAAAATTTGGAACTCAAAATCTTATAAAAAAAAAAGAGAGAGAGGGAGAGAGAGAAAAATAAAATACATTTCTTTGGGGAGGCAACTTGAAAGATCACTGGATTTAGACTCAGAGGACTCTGATTAGAATCCTGGCTTTGCCACTTAGTACCTGTGGGACCTTTGGGTGAATTCAACTCTCTGGGCCTCAGTTTACTCATCTGTAAAATAATGTGATTGGATTAGATGATCTCTGATGTCCCTTCCAGCTATGAGTCTAAAGACAGCACAGGAAGAGAGGCAACATAGTGTCAGTGTATAGGGCGGTGGACTTGGAGTTGAGAAGACTTGAGTTCAAATCTTGCTTCAAACACGTATTGGCTTTGTGATTCTGGGCAAGTCACTTAATTTTTCTATATGCTTTGGGTTCCAACATCAGTAAAATGGGGGGAGGAGGGCCAGGGGTTGGACTTAATTATCTCTAAAGTCCTTTTGAGTCCTAAATCTATTATCCTAAATCTAATTGAAGGATCCCAATGAGTATGTACAATCTTCATATTTTCTGGATGTAACCCTCTTCACATTTAACCCAGTACTGCTGCTTAGAGAATGCTTCTGTGCCCCTTCTGAGAGCTGTTTTTTTTTTCCATCAGCTTTTGTATTCATTTGAAAACCACTACAGCACATCCCTTGAGCTCATTAATGGTTGAGTATGATGCCATGCACCATAATGTATTATTAAATCTATTATTAAATCTGTTCATGATAGGGACCAATAATGAAATTGGAGAGCATCAGTCCTAGCAGTTTTTCTTCCCTTTTCATCAACGACTTAGAATACTGATGGGAATTTTCATTGAAATGGTAGTTTTATTTTGGCCACACCTTGGCACATTGTCAAAGAGCAACTGAGCACCTCTTAGAGTGCTATACTTGAGAACAGAATTGGGATATGCCTATCTAGAGATTGGTTGAGCGGAAAAAAATGTTCTGGGATGGCAGCTCTGCCTGCCCTGGATTGCCTGATGTCTGCACAGATAAGTATCCCCCTTCATTCCCATAGTCAGAATCGTGCCCATTTTAGCTCGGGACTAGATGAAGCCTAGAAAATATTGATGCATGGTTCTCCTGTGCCCTTCCAAGACCAGAAGGCCAGGAGGAGAGAGTAAGTGTGTGATGTTAATGGCAAAAGCTTTTAGTCTGTCTGCATTATTCAGCACTCCCTAACACTGTCAAGTCTGGAGGTGTTTTCCTTCTGTGAAATTCATTGTTCATAACTCCCAAGGGATTATTATTATACTACTTGTTCCTGGGCCACCTTTAAGGTTTGTTGTGGTTTGACTTAGGGAATGATTGTTTCATTGTTTGAATTGTTATATTTATAGCAAAATTGGAATGGAAATTGATATGTTGATTAAATACCTCGCTGGTAATAGGTCTTTAAAAAATTTGCATAAGTGATTTTATTAGACTTAGTTAGAGCACCAGCTCTGGAGTCAGGAGGACCGAAGTTCAAACCCGGGTAAGTCACTTAACCTCAATTGCTTCAAAAAAAAAATAATAGAAGCCAGTATCAAGGGCCTGTGTTCACCTCTTATCTATGACACATGCTGGCAGCGTACATGGGCTTTACTCCCAAGTACTCTAGGCAGCTGTCAAAGATTGTACTCCCTCCACCACTACTCAGGCCATCGTCAGCTGTCTTGGCTTATATCTTGCCTTTGATGACTCTGGAGGAGAGAGTGAGGCTGCTGACTTTGCACAGCTCTGCCTCACGTAAGTCCAATTTACATGAAAGGTCTAACCATCCCCCTTGTGATGTTATTGGTCCTCTTGGAGAATGAAGGATGAACAGCAAGACAAGATTGTAAATTACAGAAACAATGCTGACCTGCACTGGTAAAGGGCATTTCTTCATCTGGGAATTCCTCATGCTAAGAAGTCACAGATAGTTCCGATAACTTGATGCAAATTAAGTAGACATGCACAGCTTTTGATTTATAATGTTAAATAACTAACACTAATAGTATATTTAGAAAGAAAGGAGCTTTATTGTATAAATGTAGGTTCAAGTATTTTCCTCCTCCCAAACCAGATTTCTTTGCATTGTTTGCACATGATTACTAGCATTGGAAGGGAATAAATCATAACATTGAATGTTTTACATTTAATAATTGCCCTTGACTATATTCTGCATTTTTCGATTAAGTGCAAAACTTTTAGAGCATACTAAGCTGTTATTTCCTTGCTTTTATATTTTATGGCTTCCAGGGGCACATTCAGAAAGAAGTAAGTACAGCAATAGTAATTCTTTGGAGAAAACTTTTTTGTGCATGGTAGCAAGCTGTAAACGTGCTTATTCACATTAACAATGCCTTGATATGCTGTGTGGTAGCAGGAGGGTTGGTGCATCCTGGGAATTCTAATGAATGCTTTCTTTACCTGTGTATAAGCCCAAGACCAACCCTTTCTTAAGTTAACCACTGGGTATTGGTCTAATTACCACCATCACACAGCACAAAAATGTTGTGCAAAATGGTACTATTGTAATTCTCTAGCCTTATGCCATTTCCTGTCCTCTTGGTAAAGATAAATATTTTACCATATTGTTCTGCCATTTTGCCTCCATTGTACAACCCTTAGGATTTTAATAGCCAAATTTGATAGTCATAAACTAACCCTACATTCCATTTGTAGAATTGCCTAACTTAAATCAATGTTGCAAATATCCCACAAGCTCTGCGTATCCCTTTGTGCTGCTACAGGTGGCTTAGACTTTGCCTTCAGAGAAGAAATGGAGCAAGGAACGCCATATCTTTTCTGTGGTCATTCTGCTTTTTTTCCCAAAGCATGTGCATGTATGGGAGATATCTGCTCTGGGTTAAGTACTGAGTTGACAGGTAGCCATGCTTTTTACCTTTTAAGGGAAGCATATACACCAAAGACCTATTCCATTTGGGATATTTAGCCCCTGAATCTTTTCTCCTAGCTGGTGGTCTGTATTATGGTCTGTATTACTTTGCTCCCTGGTGGAAATTTCTCTCCTGTTACTGAGCCAGGTACAAAAATCTCTTCCTGGCAGGGTCTTTTTAGCAGAATGCTAGGAATTGTGTTTGTCATGTGGGAATGATGTTTCCATCACCTGGAATGTTTAGAATTCAACATAAAGGACGTTGAGACACAGGTTCCCAGTTAGGAAGGACTGGGTTCAAGTCTTATCTTTGGTACTCTAGGATGTTCCTTACCTTCTCAATGCCTCAGATGCCTCTCTAAGACTGTTAGTTGCTGAGAGGGTGCTGACCGTTGTTGATAAAGAAAGCTTCCTCACCTAGGAGTGCCCTTGGCATACACTAATGAAATAACTGGTTGGTTCTGATCTCCTCAGGGATTAAACTCAGCAAACACTCATTAAGCACCTACTGATGTTATATTTTGGCTTAACATACAGAGTGCTGAGTTTGCACTCCTGAAGACTTGGGTTCCAGTTCTACTTCAAACCATAGCTGTATGACCATGGATAAATTTCTTAACCTCCTGAGTCTCAATTTCCTTATCTGTAAAATGGGAACAATAATAACTGTAATCCTTACTCTAAATGGCTGTTGTAAAGATCACCTGAAATAATGTATATAAAGTGTTTTGCTTAAAGCACATATAAATATGAGGCATCATTATGACACTGCTGTTTCTGTTGTTGCTAAAAGGCATTGTGCTTTTCCTAACAAGATGGAAAACAATATGGTCCCTGCCTTCAGGTAGCTTACAGTCTAGTAAGGGTGATATGACATTTACACAAATGACAGTAGACTTGGGAAAAGCAAATAATTGACTCGAAGTATTTGCTGGATTGTCACATAGAAGGATTAAATTTATTCTCCTTATCCCCAGATAAACAAGTGAAAGTTACAAAAAACAAAATAAACAAAAAAAAGATTTAAAATTGATAAAAGGAAAATTTTCTTAATGATTAAAGATGTCCAGAAGATAAATGGATTAGTTATTTAATTAGCATTTATTAAACACCAATTGTGGTGTCAGGCACTGTTGTGATTGCTGTAGACAAAAAGAAAGACCTTCCCTAGGAGGAGATAGACACTAACGAAGAAGATAACATACAAACATGTGTAAGCAAGCTATAGTCGGGACAATCTCAGAGGGAAGGCACTAAAAATACAGAGGACGTGAGAAGGCGTTTTTGAGAAGGTGTCATTTTAGTTGAGACTTGATGTAAGCTAGGAAAGCCGGGGGTGGGGGGTGGGGTGGATAACATTGGAGAACATCCCATGCATGGGGAACAGCTAGTGAAAACACACTGAGTTAGATAGAATGTTGGGCATGGGGAATAGCAAGGAGGCCAGCATCACTGGATCACGGTGGCTTTCCTCTTCCTGCAGGTTTTTGGATGGAGTCTCTCAGGCGTCACACCTTCCTTAGTGTTAAGGATAGTTAAGTTAGGATATAAACATAAAAGTGAGACATCTTTCCTTCTTTACACTAGGATGCAAGCTCCTTGAGGGCGAGGTATAATGTATATACATATACATACACATATATATGTGTGTGTGTATATAAGTATATGTGGCATGAATACAATATGGTTATTGAACTAGCTGTGTAAGTGGAGAAGAAGAGGCAGTGGAGAAGCATTGTGGATATAGAAATGATACATGCGATTTAGCAAATGATTGCATATATGGGGTTAACTAGAAGAGTCAAGGATAATACTGAGGTTTCATACCTAGGTTAATGGGAATGATGGGGTACTTGTGCTCAGACCCCAACCGTAAGACCATATCTCTCCCCAGCCAAAGACTGGCAATAACTCATGAGTGGGCCTAGTGAGGCAAACTATCCCTCCCTGTTATATGAACAAGCTGACCTCTGTAGAATTTCCCTTGTATGAACAGGACTACCTTGTACTCTCCAGATATCCAGAGGTCAAGCTATAGATGTCAGCTCCTGAGGCTGTCTTGTTACAGATGAAGCAGACCAAAAACACACCCCTTAGAAGCTCCCCTCTCCCAGGCCATGCCAGTAGTGAATGATGCCTGTGCCCAAGGTACAGAAGCAGTATGTTTACCACCTAATTAGCATACTTGGCACCGAACTTCTGCCCCCATTAGGTTGCAAGTTGCCAGAAGAGCTCTACCTGCTATATGGCATTACAATAAACTTTTTGCCACTTGACTGGAATACTGCTTGAGTCCTTGAATTCTTTCCAGACAGTTCTTCCCTGAACTTTGGTATTTTGGGGTACCTGTACCCTCAAAATTGCATCAAGGGGAGGGTGGTGCCCTTGATGGGCATAGGGAAGTTTAAAAGAAGGGTGGGTTTGGAAAGACAGTTAAGTTTTCTTTTTGAAATATTGAGTTTTCTAGATTTACTTTGATTTATTCTTAAGTATTTCCTTTTCCAATAACTCCAACTCAACAAACACTTGTTCCATTGATGAACCTTACAAGTAAGTTTAATGTCTTTCCCCCCCTGCCCCCAGTGGCAGGAGCTGAATAGTCTTTGCTCTATTCAAATATCTTCAAGGAATCTGTTGTGGGGGTTCAGAACTAGAGGTGGTCAGTTCATCTCATTCATTTGTTCATGCAGTGTTCAACAAGCATTTATTGAGTGTTTATTATGTACAGCGACTATGCCAAGTGCTGGGGATGCAAAGGCAAAGACAGAAACAAAACATTCCCTGTCCTCTTGGAGATTGCATTCTGTTGGGGGAGGTGGGGAAGGAACACGTACAAACCAATACGAACATGTCAATCCAAAGTTATGTGCAAAGTAGAGGCCAGGAGAGCATCAACAGCTGGGGTTATCAGGAAAGCAGGAAAGGCCTCCAGTAGGAAGTAGCATTTGAGCTGAATCTTTAAGAAAACTAGAGATGTTAAATCAGAATATGGCATCTCTACGGAGTTATATCAAATGATTCTTCTTCTCCCCTTCTCCATCCTAATCTCAGCCATAGTATTTACCAGTGCTAATAGTATTAGCAGCTTCCCTGCTAATTACAATCAGCATGTGGTCTGTACCTTACTTTGAGTTTCTAGGACTTAGTGAACCAAGACTGTGAGAGTGTGTGGGTTTTGATTTTTTCTTTTAAACAGACAAGACCACATTTATACTTCTCTCGTTAGTTAAGTAGCTACAGTCATAAGATCACTGAACTATATGCTGTGTCCTTTTTAGCCAAAGAGGGAGGTTGAAACAGTAGAAGTGTAAGCAATTGCCGTGAATTGAAAGAAATCTCATTATATCATTGATTCCTGCTGCTGTTTCAACGTCCTGAACTCACTTAGCAGTTCCAGACTAACCCATTTCTATCATGGTTATGAGCAAGTTCAAGGGCTCTGTCCTTCTGCGTGGAACAAATGACGTTCTCAAGTTTCAAAGATATTTAGGATTTTCACATTACTAAAGTGAATAGAGTTCATAATCAGATTGCTTATTACTGAGCCATAAAAAATGATGAAATGGACAGTTTCAGAGGAAACTGGAAAAACCTTTGTGATCTGGTACAGAGCCAAGTGTGCGAACTAGAACAGTTTATACAGTGATAACAACATTATTGAGAAATACAACTTTGAAAGACTTTAGAACTCTGATTGACACAATGATAGGCCAAGGGTCCATAGGAATGAAGATAAAGCACACCTCTCACCTGCTGATGGAGGGGCAATGAACAAAATGCAGAAAGAGACATACATTTGAGGAAACGTGTGAATGTGGGAATTTGTTTTGCTAGACTATAAAGCCATAAATTGAGGGGTTTGGAGGACTATTTTTTGTTGTCTGGTTTTGTCTTGCTCAAAAAAACAGGGTTGGAGGACAGGAAGGAAAGATTAATAAAATAAATACTTGTTGCTTGAAATTCTTTTAATTTTAAAAAGAAAGAAAGCACTTCTAAGTTTAAAAAATCACTGCTTTAGTGAATAATAGAAGATATTTGTGGGGCATGGGGTGGGGAGGTGAATAAGGAAATAGCTTTAAAAGCATGATGATAAGCCAGGTTTTAAAATGATTAAAATATGAAATTTAAATTAAAACAGTGCAAATATGTTAAATTGATGACTTCCATTTTAAGACATAAGCAAGGGGTTCATTTTCTTTTAGCAAAAACTAGGTCTTTGTGCATTGTGGGCTGGTCATTATGAGAAACCATCATAACCAAGTATCTGTAGCTGGTTGTGTTAGCTTTTGGAATTAAGTAGTGGAGGTCTTTGGGGGTTTAATTACAGTGGTTTCAGATCACTTATTCTTTCTGTTCAGTGACAGCTACAGTGATCTTAGCGACGACAGCCTTCCAGAAAGAAAGATTTCTGAAGTGGAAGCCAACTGAGACTCCTTCATAACAGAAGGGACCTGAGCAGGTAAGATGAAATTCTCTGTCTATTCCCCCTTTAAATTTCACCATTCTTTTGAATTCAGTGTACAATTCATGGTGAACCTCTGCTTAGGGTTACTGTCTCTCTGTGCTTTCTCAGTCTTCTGGTATCTTAAACTGCCAGGCTGGGAAATCAAGGGCTAGCGAGTGTGCTGCTGTGGGTACCACCATCCTTCCAGTCACCCAGGTTTAAAATCTAGGTGTCATCTTTAACTCACTCTCCATATGCAAGCTATTGCCAAATCCTATTGATTCTTCATTCACAACATCTTTTATATATACAGGTGCCTCCCCCCCTCCCCAAATAACACTGTCACAGTCCTGGTACAGGCCCTCATTATAGCAATAATCCTGTTATTTAGCAACCTGCCTTGGGTCTTGTTCCTCTCAATTCATCTTCCACTCAGGTCTTCAAGTGATCAACCTAAAATATAGGTCTCGCCATGTCATCTCTTTTTTCAATAAAATCCAGTGGCTCCAAGATCAAGGCTCCAAGATCAAATATAAAAGCCTCTGTTTGGCTTTGAAAGCTCTTCATAACCTAGCCCCTTCCTGCCTTTCCAAGTCTTCTTATACCTTATTGCCCTCCCCGTACTATGTGATGCAGTGATACTGGCTTCCTTTCTGTCCCTTGAACAAAGCATCTCCCAGCGCCATTCATTTTCACCAACTCTCCCATCCTTAGAATTCTCTCCATCCTTATCTCTTGCCTGCCGGCTTCCCTGGCTTCCTTCAAATCTCAGCAAAAATCCTGCCTTCTACAAGAAGCTTTCCCTGATCCCTCTTATGATTGCTGCATTCCCTCTGTAGTTGTCTGTATCTCCTGTATGTATTTTGTTTGCTGGTGGTTGTTTACATGTTGTCTCTGCTACTAGAATGTTTGCTTCTTGAGGACAGGGAATGTTTTCACATCCTCAGCACTTAGCACAATGCCTGGCTCGTAGTAGGTGCTTGATAAATGTTTGTTACCAACTGCTGCTCCAGTGACAGATGAAGGAAAATACTTTGAAATATTTGTTCTTTAGAATTGTCTACAGCTTTACTGTCTGGAGAAGAGACATGATGGGTATTGCTGATGATTGCCTTCATTATTTTTCTTCCTTAGTCTTTTGTACCCAGGGAGAACTTTGCATTAAAAACCCAATATTTCTGTCATATCCCTTGATTCATTTTTATTTGTTTATTTTTGTTCTGAATGTTACTAGCCCAAAATAAAGTGGGGATTGTACATGAAATTGTAATGAAACTGTATATACAGCCTCCTTCCTTCCTTCCTTCCTTCCTTCCTTCCTGCCTGCCTGCCTTCCTTCCTGCCTTCCTCTCTCTCCCTCCCTCTCTCTCCCTGTCATTTTCAAAGCTGTTTTGCTGCTTTGAATTTTTTTCTCACCTTCCTTCTTTTCTCTGCATTTTTTAAACAGATGCCTCAGTGACCTTTCTTGCTTCCTTGTTTTCTTGCCTGCTTTCCCTTCCCCTGCTGAAAAAAAAAATAAAACAAAGCCCTTGTAAGAAGAAATACACAAGCAAAACAAATCTCCACGTTATGTGGGTTTGAAAATGCAAGCTTTATCCTACGTCTTAAGTCCGTCATCTATCTGTCAAGTGGTCCCTTGAATAATTTGATTTTTATTGATGGTAGAGTTTCTTGAATCTATTAATTTAGATTACTAGATAATTATATGATGCCTTATGAGGGTGTTACCCTAAGTTCTTCATATCTATGCCAATGGAAGAGCAATCTCTGTAAATTTAGAGACCTCTCCCATCCAAATGTTCACACAGGCTATTTGTGCCTGACCTGTGGCAGAGCCTTCTGAGCTTGTATTGGTCAGAGCCACAGTGAGATACATTGTATGCTGACCCTGACATGAGGTCATTTTGGTTCTTTTCGAGTCGGAAGGACACCAACCGACCAACCAAAATGGAAAGTGTTTAAGTACAGACTTAGAAAACAACTATAAGTATTTTATTGGAAGACCAAACTAGATCTGAATTTTAGAAAGCTTGTGGAAACTGTGCAGCGGAAAGAGCGTTAGATCTGGAGTCAGAGGGTCTTGGCTGGAATTTTGACTTAGCCACTTAAGACCTTACATTTCCCCTAATGTAAAATGAAGAGATTGAACTCAGTGACTTCTGAGGTAATTTTCAATTCTGAATCTGTGATTCTGTAACCAGGCTGGCCACTTTAGTTTCCTCATTTTTAAATGAAGAGATTGGACTAGGTGCCCTCCATTCCAGTTTTAAAATTATGATCCCATGACCAAGTGAGGATTTTTTTAATTTTTTTTTGTTTTTTGACTGTAGTATCATATTAACTGTCTACTAAGGTATGGCAAAGTTGTGACTCGCATTGGTTGCAACTGTGGGAGCCAAAGGTACTTGCAGCATGGTACTGTGGACAGAACATTGGCTTTGGAATCAGAGGAGAGTTCAAATTCCCCTCTAATATTTACTATGTGTGTGTTTTTGGCAGTTGGACTTAGATGGCTTCTGAACCCTTCCAACTCTAGATGTATGATTCTATGGAAAGGTACTTAGTTGTTCAGTAGTTTTTTAGTCATGTCCAACTCTTTGTGATCCCATTTTGGGTTTTCTTAGCAAAGATACTGGAGTGGTTTGCCATTTCCTTCTCTAGCTCATTTGTTATAGATGAAGAAACTGAGGCAAACAGGGTTAAGTGACCTGTCCAGGGTCACACAGGTAGTAAGTATCTGAAGGCAGATTCAAACTTCTATCTTCTATTTCTATCCACTGTCTCAGCCACCTAGCTGCCCTGAACAGGTACTTAACAGATGTTCATATTCCATTTCTTGGTAGTGTTTTTTTTCCCCTTTCCCCGTCATTGCTGTAAATATTGGATATCATCTGATAAAAATCTTCTCATAAACTAGTGGTTTCTGCTAACAAGATAATGGTGGAATCTGTCTTATTTTTTTATTTTTTTGTTTCCATTTTTATCTTAGCTTTATTATAACATTTATTATGACATTTATTATGACATTATGACATCAGCCTGTCACTCTAGTCATTGTCTGACTTCCCTGTTTGTGAAATGAAGGCTCGTTGGAGACTTCTGGTATTGGTATTTGAAGCTTTTGACTGATTAAATAAGAGTCATGGATTTTTCTCCTCTAATGTCTCCTTCTGGGCTGTGTTGAAAAGTTTGAACAGATTTGAGGTGTCTCATTTTGTGTCTGCTTTCTCTTCTTTCTCCTGCTATAGGCAGTAAATAAGGGGTGCTATCACAGTATTTTTGGCTGGTCATAATGGAACATTTAAGCCTTTCCCTCCTCTTTCTCTGTCATTATTCCTCTGCAGTGTCCCTGGGGTAGGGAGCCTTTCAGAAGAATACAGTTTTTGGAAAAATAAGAGTCCCTTGCATCATATGTGGAGGTGACAACATTTTGTGGAAGTATGGTTGGGTATTTTTTTGGCGAGTGGGGGAAGAGAAGAGCTGCAACCAAGTTGCAGCTAGATTACTAAAGCAGTTTTATTTTTTTTTCTCCCTGAGGCTCTAATTACTTTATTGGAGAGTCTAGCAGGCAGAGCAATTTTATTAACTTCAAGCTCAGAGGCAAGATGCTAATAATTGTGATATCCCTGTAGGGGTTAAGGTGGACATGGAAATGGATGAACACTAGCCTTTTAACATGGAAAAATGCCCCAATATTTGTGTCTTCGGGGTACAGTTTTAAGATCTTAGTAGAGACCTTTTGACTACTGAAGAAGAGTTATTCTTGTGTCACTAATCCTTGTTTCAGTGAGGGGAAGGACTGAAGTAATCTACCAAGAAAAAGGACAGGAGTTTTCACACAAGTTCTCATTTGCAAAGACATTAAGGGACAGATATTAAATGCTGAATTAAATATTAAATATTGAATAGCCTTAACAGTCTTAACTGTTAAACTTATAAATGTGTCTCTCACTTTTTTTTTTAGCCTACAAATCTGTTGAAGTCAATTGAAGAAACTGCTGGAATGAAACCAACACGACATCGTTCGCTATTCCCTTTCCAATCAATAAAACTCTTTCACCCCTTTTACAAGTAGATTGGAGATTCAAAGCTACTGTAGTAATCTAATTCCAATTCCAAACTACTGATTTAAAAAAAAAAAGGAAGAAAAAAGAAAAAGATGGGTTTTCCTCCTTTCTCTTCTTGCAAAGGCTGTTGTTGGTTCTGATTGCCTTACCAGAAGGAAAATAAAACTCCTTCATGCAGATGTGTTGCTGCTGTTGTTGTTTTTTGGTCGTGTTTACCATGATGAAAAAAAGATTCATAAAAGTTGAACAGTGACTCATGTTAATTGAACCTTAGAAGATGTATTCTGTGGAAATGACATAGGCAAGATGTATTGTAACTCTTCTTAAGACCAAAATCTTAGGCTTTTTATCTAGAGGAGCACTCCTCCAGATTTGAATGGCCTCTGAACTTGCTTATATTTTTCATTTTGTTTAGTATTCCTTCCCATTAACATGCAGATTAAGCATTCATCAATTCTATTATAGTTCCTGATTTCTACTATTGATTATTCACGGGAAGATTTAGGGTGTTTTGTGGGTGGTTGTGTATTTTTTCCCCTTGAAAGCAGAGTTTATCTATTCAGTTGCTGAGTAATTTGGGAGGGGTTTGGTAAAATAATAATTCTGTGTAGTGCTGTCAGATACCAAACATTATATGAAGGCACCCAACTGTAAATTTCTCACCGTGTTATGATTAAAACAGAACTAACCAACTGTATTGTCATTGTGACTGTCAACAAAACGTCAAGGAAATGCAAGGGCTTCCCTGTGAAAATTAAGCATAAGTACTAGAAAAATTCTATCCCCAAAGACACAGCTTAGGTTGAAAGTTGGACTTGGACTGTGAATAGAGAAGTTCATGGAAAAGTAGAGAGGCTAACTTGAAATGAGAAAAGAGTCCTAAATAAGTTTCTAGTTTGAAGGATCAGAATTTCTAAATTCATAACCTGGAGGTGAGAAAAGAACTGTAGTCATGAGTGTTTTAGTATCAAACTGAAAGCAATCTCAGTTATTGCTTGGTAGCTATTTTCTTGGGGTGGAAGCCAGTGAAAGCCAATATGGTAGCATGGCTTTGGTCACTCAGCATTCTGTGGCTTCATAGAAATGACAGGGGAAAACATACAGACCACTGGTGCAGAAACCATGGAGTTCTTAAATTAATGACCTAATAGACAGCAATTACCTAAGAGATTGGCCAGGGAGTACTTAAATTCTTTAGGTCACCTGACTAGAAAGGTGCCATCATATCAACATTAATTGACATAGTTGCAGAAATGGCCAATCATCTCCTTTTGCCAGTGTGAATCAATCAGGTCACAAATCAAGCTGATGTCTTCCTTGGCCAGCTTGGCCATTTTATGAGTAGAATTTTACTCATCACCATCTTTAACCATTTTATACCATATTTCATAGAAATACAGAATTCCAAAATGGGAAAAGAGTTTAGCTCTGTAGTCCAACTGCAACATTGTACGGAAAAATTAAGGACAGTTTGCTGAAACAAATAAATAAAATTCATCATTTTGAATCACATCTCTTCAGAATATGGTCAAATTTCTCACTGTATGTCTTCCACTGAGTGTTGTGTATGCTTTGCAAGGTCCTAGTGAAATTATAAGCAATTTTATAATATTTAAATATCTTTTCAATATCTTTATATTACACAAATAAAGAATTGTTTTGGAACTATGTAACATTTGCTCTGATTGTTTTCTCTAGGACAGAAAAAAAATCAAGCCCTGATTGACACTTGAGGAGTAGTCATTGGTGTGAGATTGGCTTCTAATAGTGGTTGTTTTCCATGGGGAAGACTGTTTTACCCTTTGCTAAATGGTTTATGAGGGGTGAGCTGGAAGCAAGACCAGTGGTCTGGAGGTGCTGCCGCTCCCGCTCCCAAGGCCCTTAGGCTTATCTGTCCTTTGGTGACCCTTGGTCAGCAGTTGGTGGTGGTGATTGGTGAGAAAGTGGGCTCCTCCACAGCGATTGCTCCCTTCACTAATAGCTGTGGGACCCAAGTTGAAATGAGGGCTGGTGGTTCAGTGGGCATTGCTATTCCCAAGACTCTTAGGTCCAGATTCCTGGGTTATCTCCACAAGCATATGAGGGGATGTGGTTGTTGAGGTGTCAAAGGTGGTTTGACTGGTCTGGAGCATGCTAAAAAAAAAAGGAAGCATCCTTTCTCTCCCTTAGGGTGCCTTTACTGCTTTGGCTAGGTTGCCTTGTCTATGTGGCAGTTGAGCATTAGTTGATAGGGATGACTGGCCCCTTTTCCACAGGAATTGCTTCCCTGAAGAAGGTTTGTTCAAAGGATGCATCAGCTAAAAATGCCACTCCACTCCTCCTCAGTGGGTCTTTAATAATTTCTAAGCTTACCTTCTCATTTGTTATACAGTGAATGTGGGGTTTAATATGTCTAATTTCTAAGCTTACTTTCTCATTTGTTATACAGTGAATGTGGGGTTTAATATGTCTGAGAAAACACAGGCAAGTTTCTTGTCACTGTCTTCATCAACATCGTCATTATCAACATTTTAAGGTTTGTAAAGCAATTTGCAAATATCTCATTTTATCCTTACAACAACCCTGGGTTGTAGATGCAATTGTTATCGTTTTACAGATGAGGAAACTGATGTAGACAAAGGTTAAGTGACTTGTCCAGGGTCACATAGCTAGTAAGTATCTGAGCACTCTTACCACTTGACATCTAGATGCCATTGATGAACTTGTCAGATCCAGAGGACGGTGGAAATGGGGTTCAATTTTGACCTCAGACTGACATGGGGATTGCTTTAAGGCTGTGCTGATTGGATTGTCCACCTTATCAGCAATGCAGCATGGACTATATCTAAATAGCCTTATCACAGATTCACTTGTATCAGAAAGCCAAGCCTCCCTACTTTGAAGAGGGGGCAGAGTACAACACATGACATGTGGAGGAATGGAAAACACTGATCACACAGTGTTCCTGCCCTGTACCCTCCAACAGGGAAGGCCACAGGAAGGAGAGAGGGCAGCATACCCGTGTAAGGGAAACTCCAAGGATTATACATAGAAACATCCATCCTGAGCTGGAAGGGACCTTAGAGTTTATTCTGTTTGACTCTCTCATGTTACAATTGAATTAACTGAAATCCAAGCAGATTTAAGTGACTTCCCCAAAGTCACATAGGTGGTAAGTGTCAATAAAAGTGATGTGAACCCAGATCTTTTGACTTTAGGGAAAATACTTTCCTTCCTGCCCCCTACCAAAATATATCCCTGCCTTGAACATCCCCATGTTTATTAGATCTGCTCTGGGCTCCGATCTACAAGTAACAAAATCTGCCGCAAGGCACGAAGAGTGTGTCTAGCCTCACAATCTACCCAATTTTGGGGTTTTCAAGAATCATCAGACTTTTCTGGGCATTGTAATGAATAACAAACACTTCCTGAATACAAAAATGCTTTCCCCTTGTGAATTAGACAGTAACTGTCTGTCATATGTTATATGTTCATAGGCTGTGTTATTTACCACAATGGGTGTAATTTCTTTGTGTAAAGGGGAGGGAAGAGAGAGCCTATGGACGTGCAGAACTCATCCAGGTCATATTCTTTAGCTCATGTGAGCTGGTTGTTCTAGTGAGGAAGAACCTAACATCCATTGACTGGTGGTTGAATTGAGAGGACATACCCAGAGAGCAGGCATGGAATAGGCCAATTGGAACCATCCATGGAGTGTACTGAGTTGCTCTGGCCACGTCCAACTAAATGTGCTCATCTGTGAAGGATTTCAGAGGCATGATGCAGCAATCACGTTTGGAAGGTTTCTTTGATCTTCTTAACAGTTGAGAATAAGTGTAACACCCAAGTGACAGAGAAAGGCACTGTAAAATAAAATATAAAAATATTTTGTTGTTATTTAGTTGTTTCTAGTTGTGTCCAACTCTCTATGACCCCATTTCAGGTTTTCTTGGCAGAGATACTGGAATGGTTTGCCATTTCCTTCTCCAGCTCATTTTACAGATGAGGAAACCGAGGCAGAGTTAAGTGACTTGTCCGGGGTGACACAGTTAGTGTCAGATTTGAACTCAGGAAGATAAATCTTCCTGACTCCCAGCCTGGTGCACTATCTACTGTGCCACCTAGTTGTCCTATCAAAAGTATAACGATTCAGTCTAAAGCATCACTAGAAGAATTTGTAGAACCATGAAGGGTTAGCAGCTCATAGGAAACTCTTTACAAAATTTGAATTTACAGTAATAGTAAGAGCTAGCATTTATATAACACCAACCCATGACACAGATATTACCTCATGTCTTCACAAATATTATCTCATATCTTCACAAATATTATCTCATTTGATTTTCACAACAAACTGTGAAGTGCTATTATGATCCCCATTTTACAGTTGAGGAAACTGAGTCAGCGATTAAGTGACTTAACTTGGGTAATACAGCTAATAAGTGTGTGAGGCCAGATTTGAATTCATGTCTTCCTGACTCCAGGGCCAGCACTCTAGCCACTGAGCCACTTAGCTGCCTCTAAATCAGGGGCACCTAGGTGGCACAGTAGATAGAGCACTAGCCCTGGAGTCAGGAGGACCTGAGTTCGAATATGGCCTTAGATACTTAGATACTAAGACAAATACTAGCTGTGTGACCCTGGGCAAGTCACTTAACCCCGATTGCCTATATGAAATAAAAAAAAATAAATAAATTGCAGTATTTTCTTTAGAGATGTAATATCTGTTGTGTCATCTAGAAGAGCTCCAATGATCCTGGGTAAGTCAGTTGACTTGAGTCCCTCAGGAATTCTTTAAGATTCTAAGTTAGGAATAAGTTGCTGATTAGCGGAAGGAGTTTCCAGATCAGCAGTTCGCTACACCAATGAAATCATAGGTCTGGACCGAACGTTTTTCCTTTAGCAAGAATTAAAATATTAAAACATAGCCAAATATAGAACTGTGAAATAAAATTTGCTTGCATAAAGGGCTTCTCATATTGACTTCCCTGGTTCCTAACTATTTTTAACCCCATATTTATTATGTTAAATTAATTGTCACTTCCTTATCTAACCCAGACTTAATAGGAGTACTCTGGGAATCCTGGAACAGGTGTAAGCCTCAATGTTAATATCCAAGCCATTGGAGTTTAAATGTCAGTTATCAGAAGCAAACCACAAGTGAGAAGCAATAAATCTGTGAAGCACCCTTATTTAAATGACATTTAACTTAATTGAGAAACGAGAACCAGTTGTTTGGGATGCCATGTGAAGTTTGCTTTAGTATATTGTGGAGGAATTACTTCAGAAGAGGAAGGTCTTTTTTTTTTTCCTGTGGCACACTCAGTTGTCAGATACTCCACAAATATGGAGAGCCCTTGGGCATGTAGAACCCATCCTAGTGATATTGTCAAGCTTGTATGAGAAGAACATAACATACATTGACTGGGGAATGGAAGATTGTAACATTCAATCTGTGGTTTTTTTTTTTTAAGGCCGTTGGGGCATAGCTGGGAAATGTTTGAGCCCAGATTTGAGTTCAGGTCCACCTGACTCCAGGGCCAGTGCTCTATCCATTGCTTCACGTAGCTGCCCCTATAACATTAAATCTTAACCTGGCTCTTATGAAGGGCAAACCTGGAAACTGGAAGAGGCTTACACATACCTTTAGATTTTGAAAGACTACTGTAAACTGCTTGACTTGAAAAAGCACAAGGAGAAACCTTTGCAGCCTCAAATTCTGTTTTTGAAGCAGTGTTTTCTAGCAGAGCACAAATAGTCCTTTGTGATATCTCTAATTTCATGAGGGATAAAAGTCCTCTCATGAGCCTAAAGTCCTCTAATTTTCCTTAATAGTCTATTATAGGACTGTTAACATTGAAAAAATGCATCCAAAAAACCTAACAGTTTTAAGTTAAATGCTTTATTTAACAAATGCATTAATAAAAGAATAGTATTCAAAATAATAGATATGATAGTGGAGACTTACCAGAATAGTTAGATGATGGAAACCTGATGATGGGAAGAAGTTGAAGAAAATAGGGTATTTAGCATGAAGATTTTGTGTGTATACTTATATGATAAATTTGTTTAAATATTTGAAGGGCAACTGCATGGAAGAGGGATGAAAATTATTTTGTCTTGCCCCAGAGGGAAGAATTAGAAGTAAAATGTGAGACAATAATTTTGATGCCCCTAACCATTTTAATCAGCATTTATTCAGTTCTTTGTGATTTGATGGGTATCAGTGATTGTATTAGTGAATTAAGCAAAATAGAATTAAGCAAAATAGAATTAAGAGTTAAGATAATTATATTTGTTAATATGGCTAGGATAAGAGTTATGATTGATTAATTAATCATGTATTGATGATTACATTAATTGTATTTGATTTATCAGATGGATTTATACTGACAGCTAAGAATCTAATAAGAATGAAATTGCTGAACTAACACTGTCCCCCCTCCCCCAACCACTTGGCTTATAAATAAGGATCATTTGCGTCTCCACCCTTAAGAATCATTTCCATCCATTTTCTAGTAACCTTTGCTTCAAAATCACAATTTTCTTGGATCCTAGGATACTGTTGGTCGAGTGCTAGTGTTTGATGGCCTTTGGAAGGCCCAAGACTTTGATGACAGGGTCTTATGACCTATGTAAGGCCTTGAGATGTTGACAGGATCTTATAATCTTTGGAAAGCCTCTGCTGAGATGG